CCCGTGCGTGTGTGAAGAGAATGTTGATGTGAATACTTGAGTTTTTGTTTTTATTTTGTGTGGGGGGGTGGGGGTTGTGTCGACACTACTCATAGTTCTGTGAGGCATCATGGATCAGTTTGTGTCGAGCTGTTTGTCACATCATCGCAGAAAATAAGGAAGCTTCCTGTTCAGTCAGTAAAGGAACAGTTCACCCAACTTGCAATAGAAATTGTTTTTTCCTGTAGAAACAGTTTTGAGTGTTAGATAATTCAGTTTTCTGGAGCCTGAGGGGAGTTTTCAAAAACGATTTTAACAGAATAAAGCAAATTCTCATTTAAGAAGCTGAAATTGGGGAAAATTTGGCTTTTTTGCTCAGTAGCAGATGTCAATTAATCAAATGATCAAAATTGTTGAATTAACTTTCTTTAACAACACTATTATGATATATTTTAAAAAATCTCCTAACAATGGAGATTGTTGTTGGAGATGTTGCTAAGTGCAGTTTAAATTTTTTATTTTAAACAAATGTGACACCGACAGTCTCCAGAGAAGGACTAAACAAATTCTGTGCATCTTTTGTTTCTGCTGGAGCGGTGACCAAATCAAGTGTTCTCCAAACAAACGGTACATACGCTTGAAAAAAGAGCTTAGAGTGTGCTGTCGACGTAAACTAATGGACCACAATGCATTGCACAAAGAAAATTATGAGAAGCTAAACTAAAACGTCTTAATGAACAACCCTGGAATTTTTGGAAAAAGTTTTGAGATCATGTGTGAAATTGTCAATGAGCCTCTTCAGTAGCAGGTTCTGTATCATTTCCTGCTTCTATCACTGTGCACATGACTGTTTTATTACAGTAACCACACTTTCTTGATAGAGACAAAGCTGTTGTATTTTTTTCAATGTTCAGATGTCAGAGATGGATTTCTCTGCATGGCTACATTCCACTAGAATCATGTTCTGTTTAATTTGGGTGAACTGACCCTTTAACAAATTGTTAGATTAAATGTCACACATGGAGAATATGTTTTCTTTGAATCAGCTGCAGTGATTCTCCTTTTTTTTTTCTTTGTTACCTTCAGCTACACTGGGCTTTCTATTCCAAGGCTGTTGCAGCTCAGGCAACTTTGATGCAGAATAGTCTGGACCCTTTTCTGAGCCCTGTGTGTCTGTGTGTTGCTATGGAGGATGTCATCATCTTTGTTCAGACGCTGAGGCCAAACCTTTGTCAGTTTGTACTGCACCACTAATCTTTCCATGCCGCCACTGTGTCTGTGTCCTGTCGCTGTAAACGCTCATCTTCATTTTCCACAGGAGCTCTGATGCCCCCTCCTCCTCCTCCTGTTATCTGGTCTGCCACGTAGTTCAACACCCCCCCACCCTCCCCATGTTCCTAGGCTGCAGTTGACGTCTCAGTCAGAAAACACTTCACTGCATCATGATTTGCACTTTCTCCTGTCGTCCTATAACCTCGTCCTCTGAGTCTCTGTATAAATGTCCCTTCTTTTTTTAATTTGATATCTGTTGTAGCGCTGTCATTTCTTTTTTGTTCAGAGGTAATATATGAAGGTGGGCTCTCTTCTGTCTTTGTTTTATTGATGATGGATTAAAGCTGCAGTAGAACTACAGAAGAGATGGGGAGTGAATAAAACAATCCAAATACAAGGTTTTGTCTTTATTTGAAATGTATTTGATATTTTCTTTTAAGCCTCTATTTGTTAAAGGGCTCTTTTCTGCGTCAGTAGGGGGCAACATTGAGTCAGTAGCTGCAGCTTCTGTCAGGTTCGTCTGAGGTTCTGGAGATCTGCCTCTTTTCAGTCTGTCCAAGGCTTCAGTCGTCGGTGGGGTCCCACTCGGAGAAGCTGCGGACGAGTGGGTGTGACTGAGCAGAGCTGATGTCACGTCATGTTAACAGCACGTTTAAAGTCTGAGGAGAAGATGCTGGTGACAGAGTCTGAGCAGGAACACAAAGAGCTACATAAACAGAGAGAGAGAGAAGAGTATGATGACAGGAGGCCCCTGAGTGATCAAGGCTCTGCATGTGTGGAAGGAGTGAGGGGAGTGTAACGCCTGTGGTGGCCCCCTGGGGACACTGGGCGTCTGTTTCACTCTGCTGGTGTTTCTCAACTTGTTTTCTGAGCTGACAGTCTGCTGCTTTAATCCTCCAGCATCAGACTGGGCTCGATGTTCGAGCCGCAGGAGTCCTGCTGATGAACTGACAACAGCCCAACACACTCATGGTCGTCACTGAGCATTTAAACCACGAAACAAATCACCAACAATCTCATCAGTACATTTACTGCCTCACTCATGTCTTTCCAGGAATTTCCCAGTGTGGGATCATGCATCCATCTAACACGGTTATTATCAGGCCCTGTTTGTTATCAGTTGTTGGTGAGAGTTAGAAAGAATGAGGGTTTGGTTGTGGGATGTTTTTATGTCATTAATCTACTTAGGTGCACTTTTCACGTATCTGAAACAAAGTACATTTATTTTCAGGTACTTTTCACTTTTTATCCATCGGTACTAGTATCTGTACTTTAAACTCATTTTCATAAAGCAGTTCATTTCAAGTTTTTGTATATATATTTTTTAAAGGTAATCAATAATTAAAGGCAAATTGGTTCTCTGATCCAATCAGAGCAGGCAGGTAACATTAGACCCCGCCTCCTTCAAGAAGAGCACGATGAACGTGCAGCAGCAGCTTCACTGAAGAAGAAATGATGAGAATGATTCAGAAGGTCACCACCAACACTCAGCTATAATGATGGAGTAGACTGTTGCATCAGGGGATAGGCTACAAGTATATTTGGAAGTACTTCAAACATTACTTTTAATCAAGTGTTTATTAATTTAAGTATTTATTTACTTCATTCCCATGGGGGTGAAGTATCCATCCATCCAGTAGAAAAGTTAATGTGGTACTTTGACTTTCACCTTAAGTTTTTGTCTATTTGTTTGTACTTAGTAAAAGGTTGAACTGATTTCTATGAAACTTGGTGGAAGGCTGGAACATGGGCCAATACATTTTAACCTGGATCCAGACAAAGAAGCGGATCCAGGTCTTTTTTCTTTTTCTTTTAATCACATCGTGCAAAAGGTCGTCTTTTGACATTTTCACCGGCATTTAAAGAACTGATCTCTGTGAGTGTGTGAAAGTTTGGTGCAGCTTGATTGAATTTAATGTGACTGTTGGGCCTTGGCTCAGTGTGCGCTCTGCTATAGTGCCATCCTACTTGGTGCTGTTTTAATTATTCTAAAATTTCTCGTTGCCAAGCTCAGTTAGTCGGCAGCAGCGCTCTGTACATGGCAGCTAATTAATACAAGCTACAGGGCTTATAGAGAAAAAAATACATGAAAACCAGACTTAGCAGAAAAAATGTAATGAAGGTGTGAACGAGGAGATAAAAAACTATTTTTAAAACTACACAAGCCAATCCACACGTTTACTTTCACACGTATTCACTATTTATAATGCAAAGCGTGATGCACGTGAGGGAAAGTGAGTTGCGCAGCGAGATCTAATTACAGGCCACAGAATGAATGTATCTTCACCCATGAACCCAGAAACCAGTCTGTGTACAGAGTGATTCAGAGGGAAGCTGCTAGTGAACAAAGCTGCTGCAGATTGTTGCCAACCTCATTTCTCCTGCAAACCTCCTCCATTTGTGTTCATTTAAACTTTAAAGGGGGAGGTGGGTGTCGCCATATTGGAGGTTTGAGAGAACAATGTCTTGAAGGCTTTTTGGCAACTGGATATCAGGGAGAAGACGCACCACTGGCACTCAGAAAGAAGCGAAACACGCTCGCAACAATGACACACGGCCATGAAGAAGTAATGAGCCAGCTGCTCTCCTGCGTGACGTTTGTGTGTCAGCGGCTGAATTTAATCTGGAAGCAGAGACACAAATGTTACAGAATTTTTATTTCAGCTAGAAACTGAATCTCCACAATATTAACATCCATTTTTTTAAATAAAAAAGCATATAAAACAAACATAGAAAATGCAAATACAAGATCAGTTCTTTTTTTTTTTAATCACTGAACCATTCAGGCCTTTAGATTCAGTTTGTTATAAATGGAGGAAATAAAACATGTATTCGTCTGTCATTGAACGGTGCTCACAATAGAAATGGAAAAAAAAAAAAGCTTTACCCTGATGAAGACATTCTGGGAGAGAAACCCCGAAATCAATATCTGCTCCATGGAGGAAAAGGAGAGAAAATTATTTCAGTTCTTACAAACAGCAAACGAGAAGAAAAATGTTGTAAAGGTCAGCGAGGGATTTTTTTTTTTTTACTTCCCCCAAACGACAGTAGAACACTGTGATAAGTCAACATGATGTTTTATCTGATGTGTCTGTGCTTTAGTGGCAGTTTCCACTGCGGCCTGATTGAAAGCAGAACATCCTCCACAGTTTGCTGCTCATCAAACAGCTGCAGGATGTTTTATTATGTCATCCCAGAGTGAAGCTGCAGAAATCCTCTACTCAAAAAGAAAAAAGCTTTCAAACGATTAATGAACAACTTGTCAACGTCACAACCTCAAGCCCCAAAGAAATCTGTCAAGTATCTGATAAAACCCAGAACCAGACAGATTATTAGATCTGTGAGGACCTGGAGTTTGTCAGATTCATATTTAATGTCACTGTAATTTCAAAGCCCGAGTCAAAAATAACCCCAGTTTGGATTTTATAGTGAAATGGGAATTTACCAGAAAGGGCAGAATATAACAATGCTATTAAGCTGCATTAAGGGAAATGCAGTGTTCAATGTTTCTGGAGGATTTTCTTTTACACTCTCTTTTAAATCTCTGCTGCTGCTGCTTTGAGCTTTTGTTTATTGCAAGCCCCCAAGTTTAAGTAAAGTACAATACCACATCAGTTTAATAAACTGGACAAAGAGAGTTCTCAAATGCATAATAAATACATCTGGGATCAAAATATGACTGAGATAAATTAATAAATGTAAATAAATACATGAAATTCAGATGTCTGATGACTCTTGAGTGTATGTGGATGAGGTGCTGATGGGACAGTGAGGCCTGCGTTTTGTTTTTGTCGGACTCTGGCTTCATCCATACTACTACGTTTTTGTTTGAAAATGACATTTCGAACTATTAGGATTTGTTTAATGGAGTGTCGTCATGTCAATTTTAATCCCCGTCCATACCAACGTGCCTGAAAACGCAGATCACATTACCACTGGTGTACAGTGGGCATGCTTGTGTCGATGGAAACAGAAAGGCATGCGTGCTCCGCTGGACACGGGCAGTGTCGCAGATTGCTCAAATTATATCTTGTCTCCTACACACACAAGCAGTAAAACGTAGAATTAAACTGCACAAAAGCTGTTAATGAAGACGACAGGAGCCTGACGAAGCAGCAAAGGCTACGTTGTAACAGAAAAGACCGAATCAGCAAGCGGCACTGAGTGTCTACGTCATCGTTTCCAAACATCTCTGTTTCTGCCCCTCCAGAATAAAACACAGCCTGTAGTTTTCAAAATAAACCGTTTCCAAACTTCTCTGTTTTAGCAGCTCTAAAACTCCAGAGTAGTGTGGACGCCAGGTGAATACATGTCAGAGTTGATGTGTCAAACAATAATGTAGTAGTGTGGATGTAGCATCTGTGCGATTGTCCTTCTTGTATCAAGTCATCGCCGCGGCAGCAGACGCAGGCTCATCTAGATGGAGCTCTGCGTCTTGATGAAAGCTGTCCTCTCGCCGTTCCCGTCCACTTCCTCGCTGTCTGATTCAGACTCGTAGGCGATCATGTCCTCATCCCCCCACACAGTGGGGATCCCCTTGTAACATATCCGCGTCTTCTTCTCCCGTCCTCGGCCGAAGCCAAAACCAAAACCCACCTGCACCCCCCTTGTCTCTGAAAACATAGAGGGCAGTTTGGTCCTCCAACCCAGTGAGGCACCACCTGAGCGCATCTGCAGCAGGAGGAAGACCCCGACGAAGGCAGCCAGGATGAAGGCACAGCTGAGCACGGCCACGACGGCGGGCAGCTGAGTGGACGGAGTGACGCTGAGCCCCGGGGGTTCCTCACCCTCTTGGCTGTTCATGTCTACTCCCGCCGGGATCTCCTCTTCTGGCTGGGCTCCGTCTCCCTGGAGTCCCCCGGCCAGAGGGGACTTACGCTGGACCTGGTTCTGGTGCAGGCAGGAGGTGAGGACCAGGTGGCTGTGAGGCGGACAGGACAGGCAGTCTGTGGGGCCGGGGCCAGAGCAGGTGAGGCAGGCGGGGTTGCAGGGGAGACAGGCCTGGATTGAGGACAGGTCCACCCAGTTCTCCAGCGAGAGGTTGAGCAGCTGCGGCCCGGACGTGAAGCCCGGCGGACACAACTTCACACAACCCTGGAGGAAGAGGGAGAAGCCGGGGCTGCACTCTAGAAGGAGAGAGGGAGATGATAGAAGATTGTTAAACCCTCTCAGGAAATTTCTGATTTGTGGATATTTAAAAGAATTATCTTATAAA